TGTGCCTGCCAGGTGGCCAAGGGACCCAGCTTTTAATGGAGACCAGCAACAGGGGCCACACAAGGCACAACGCTCCCATGACACACTGTGGGGGCATTTCAGGAAAAAAAAAAAAAAAAAGGCAGTTTTGGCAGGAACAGTTTGGTTTGTAGACAAAACAAAAAATAAATATACACATGTAGACATTTAAGTTTTATGTTTTACACTGCTTTTGCCTGAAAATCATTTTTCTGCTAAACAGCAATTTCAATACACATATCCATGTCTTCCCCCACTCCAGCTTGCTCAACTCAATTTTAATTTCCCAGAAAGCTGGAGGCATTTAGCCCTTCACAGGACTTGACTTCACAAAAATGCCAACTGCACAGCACTGCAGACTTCTCATAAAAGAAAACAGTGGTCATTCTGGTAATTGCATCCCATATGTCTAATTCCATAATGAAACTCCTGGTAGCTTGAGTCAGGAAGACAGAGTAAGAGTGAGACGATGCAAGAGGAGGCAATTTGAGCAGCGCCCTTCATTCAAGTGGCTATGCTGAGGACGGATCCCCAGACCGTGTAGACAAAAATTGACATAGTGTTGCTTTTTCTGTCCCCTGGCTGAAGTGGGTAAGGTTCCCATTTAGATGCCAGCCACAGGGGGAAGTGCTCAGATGGGCTCTGGCCCCTTGATGGGAATAAACCTAAGTGGGAGCAGGGCTGGAGGCGATGGCAGAAGGAGAAAATGTATAGCAAAGGTTTAGAGGAAAAGACCCAGGAAAATGATCGAGGAGCTGCAGGAGCTGCCTGGCAAGCCAAGATCACAGGAGCTAGACATGCCTCGTCTGGCTGAGTGGCAGCTGAAGCAGGACATGCTAACGATGTGCAAGTGATTGAAGGAGCTTGGCATCAAGTGGGAAGAGGAAGTGCTGATGGTGGCAGACGTGGGGGAGGCCCGGGCGCCAAAGGAGCTGTGGTGGGACCAAGTAATACCTAGCTCCGGGTAGGAAGCGATTCCTGGCAGGAGCTGCTGTGAAACTGTGTCCCATGGGAAGTGGGGAAGCAAGGGAGGCAGAGCTGGGGCCAGTGCGGGCAGCTGCAGTGCCCTTGCTCTCCAGAGAGGTGGGTGGCTGATGGCAGAGGCCTCCTCTTGGTGCCAGCAACAGGGCATAGCTGGGAAGTGCAGCTCTTGCCACAAGAAACCACGTAGTTGCAGGAATACTGGTCTAGCCATAGGATGGTGGCACCCTCCCTGCTTGGAGACCACCCTCCCTGGTGTTCTCAGTCCCCTTGGTGGCTCTGTCCTAGGGCTCCCCATGACCTCTGAGCCTAATGGAGGCCCCTCCTCCCCTAGGCCTGCAGGGTGAGCCATCTCCACTCCCTGGCCATGCGAAGCCGCAGGGAAGACACCACTCAGTGCACTGTGCATTAGTGTCCATCTTCCTCTCTGGGAAGGATGGATGTTTCTTCCTTCTTCTTCAAACAGTTAGTAAATAATTAAAAGATAGAGACAGAATATTCACCAGAGATAATCTAGTCTCTTGTTTCCATGGCTACCTCTTTCCTGAGCCTGAAGCCTTTTGCTTGAGTCACACAGTGGAGGGTGAAAACCCATTTTCAGGGCAGAGGGAGTCATAGCCTCACCCCATCCGGAGAACTTTTCCTCACAAGTCACCTCCAGAGGAGGCTGGGGATAAAGAGACATGTCATCCATCCTGGGGCCTGCTAGTGATCCCATCGGGCTACTGCCACGTTTCTGACTCTTGTGTCGTGTCAGGGCAGGCAGGAGTCATTGTGGGATGCTGCACCCTGGGAGCTGGAGCATGGCCTGTGGGGAAGGTGGTGGTAATGGCGCGCAGCGGTCCATGGGCCTCCACAGGAATTTTGCAGAGATGGATGATGATCTGTGCACATTGGGAGGGGGATTTGAGCCTTCAGGCTCCGCACCATTGCCACAAAGCCATTCGTATGTCTTGAGGAGAAAGATGAGGGATGTGTCCTCTCCCGGATCCACCCCGGCTTATGGCCGGGAGGGCAAGTCAAGGCAGTAGGAGCTGCTGTGCCTGTCCATCCATCCATCACAGCCCTCCTGTCCCTGTCACCAGCCCATCATGAAGAGGGAAAGGCCAGCAACTGAGTTCAGCTCCAAAGGTGCAGCACCCTGCTGCAATACAAACTGATGTCCTTTCTGCAAACCCCTTTATTTCCTTTGACGAGGGTAGATCGTTGATACCTCACACTAGAGATGCGGCTAAACTCCACCTGTGATGTGGCCTATTTCATCTCTTGGCCATTTTGAAGCACACAGCATCTCTTTCTCTCATGACCTCATATTAGGGTAACTTGTAGCACTGCTTCCATCCTTGGTTTCTCTCCCATTTCCACCTCATCACAGCCTACACTACTCTTTGGATAGCTTGGAGTCCCAGCTCCAAGTCCTTTTAAGACCGCCCTTGAGGGAACACTGTGCATAGGGCTGTCTGCAGTTGGTTTTAATTGGTTTTTGTTTGTTTATTTTTGGTAAGCCCTACCTCAGCCTTCCAAGCAGCCCTGGGTTGGAGTTTAAGCCCTCTGTAGCCAGTATTAGTTGTTTGGCCATCTGGGGATTGACTGAGGATGCAAAACTGTGGGGCTCTTTGCCTGTGGGAGAGCCAGCAGGGAGTACTCATCCAAAAAAACAACCAGTGCAAAAAAAGCATTTGAAGACCCTTATTATTGCTTTAATAAATCTGGACCAGGAGCCTTTCTGCAAGGAAGAGGACCTCTCCCTGAAGGCCTGACCTCCCTGCAGTTGGTGCACATAACTTTCAACACAGCAAACACTCCTTTCAGCAAATAAATCAAGTCCATGTATTAATTATCCTCCTCCTTTCTGTTGTTTATCCCATTCAATGTGTTTGTTGTTTACAGCCCCAGTTTGAAAGATGCAGAAGCTCCTTAAAATCAGACAGGTAATGATAAAACCAGGAAGTCTGTTGTATACCACCCACTTCACAATGTTTAGCCAGCTGTGAGGAAGCACTGGACGTGGCTACAGAGGTCCTTTCACCTCTGATGGAAAAAAATGGGATGGGAAGCCACAAGGGAGCGGGGAGGTGCATTAGCCCCTAAAACCTCTGTGTTATGCTGCTATCCTTGTTCCACTATCTTTCTCACTGTCTTTTCTTAGGGATGCCTTGGTGGGTCTCTCTAGGTTGCAGGTGACATCTCAAATTCTTTGTGTTCCTTGGATAGCCAGCAGTTTCCCCCTTCCACCCACCCACCAACCTGGGAAGGGCACGAGACAGTGGCCTTCCTGCAGGAGGAGATCCAGGCTTGCCCATAGGAAGGACGGGCAGCTGGTGGAGATACATGTGGTTACGCTGCCAGAAAGGGAACGGAAGATGCACCCTCTGGAGGGCTTGTTGCAACCACAATGGAAAAGTCACATCTCCTGTATTGAATCTTGAATCCTGAGGCAGGTGAGGAGTCCATCTGCCCTCACATTCCATGCTGCTAGCCCTCCGCAGTTACCAACCTGGGATGCGTGCACGCTCCTCTGCAACGCGCTGGCAAGGAATGCTGCAGTTCCCTCCTTCTCCCCATATCTCCTCTTGCTTCTAGTGAGCTGCCTAGCCATGATACAATGCACATATGCAGCCTTATGCTTGCACACACAAACACACACACTGACACAAATATTTCCTGTTCTCCACGATCTCAGTTATCCCTGGGCAGCAATCTGGTCCCAGCCACACTGATGCAAATCAGAAAAACCTGAGAGGATAATGGAGATGATGGAGAGGAGGTAGAGCCACCACTGAGCTGAGGAAGTTCTTCCAGGTTCTTCCCATTATAACTTGGAACAGAGTTTGCCCACATCCAGGGGACCCAATACATTTTGCTTTGAAGCCCCCTTTGCTTTTATTTGTCTTTTTAAAATGTTTTTTTTGTCTTCTTTTAATATATATAGCTATAGATACAAAAATAACAGATAGTTTTCTCTAGAGACGGTTTTTGCGCCTTTGGGCTTTGAAAATAAAGTATCACAATTACTGCAAATAAAAGGGGGGAAAGTGCAATCTCCTCTCCCCTTTTTATCTTCCCCTTCCTTTCCTCCCCCCACCCTGCTGCCTCTCTCACTCCAAAATTTCCCACATACCCTTGCAGATTTCTTCCCTTAGCAGCATTGTTTTGAACAAAATAAAAAAGGCAAACCAACAAAACAACAACAAAAATATGCCATGTAGCCTCCATCCCTTCTTCCCATGAGCATGCCTGCTGTGTTCACATGCTCCCTTCAAAGCAAAGCTTTTCACCTCAAAACGGTTCCCATGCTCCATGGCTGTTTGCATTTCCCTGCTGCTGGGGCCAGCTTTTCACCTGCTGTAAATCAGCATGAATCCACCTCAAGCCAGAGCTCCGCTGCTTTACACTAACAGAAGTGTGTAATCGCGTTTTGCTAATTTAAGCTAGACCTGAAGATCTGGCCCACAATTTTTAATATTTGAAATGGAAGCATGAACAATAAGGAAGTTCCCAGAAACAGGCAAGGTCAACCCCAGACACTCTTCCTCTGTTGCTCATCCCTGTTCCCTTCCCTTCACCCCTACCCTGCCCCCCACCCTCCTTATTTTGACCAGGACCTCCCCCAGTCCCTGTTTGTTTATTCCTTCTTAGCACTTTCTGGAATTCATAATCTCTCAGTAAAAAAAATAAATAAATCAATCTCTCTCTATATGTATATGTATATAACTAAATGGCTGCCACGTGGCAGTCACCTGGCTGGAGGGTCCATTTCCTCTCAGCCCCATGGCCTTTTCTTGTCACTATAGTCTCTGCAGTGATGGTCCAGGTCTTGCCCTCAGGCAGGACTGTTCCCGTATTGCTTGCACTCTCCCATGCCTCTGAGGTACGGTACCAGAGTATTTATTTTATATATATATATACATATATAAATGTATTTATCTCTGTATATATATATATATATATTTATGTGTATGTATATATATATATATTTATAAATTTTTGTTTTCCTGGTTCTTTTTCCCACAAATCCTTTGGACTTGCTGCTGGGGAAAAGTTATAGCACATTCCTGTGCTGGTGGCCGAACACTCCCTCCCTGTGCCCCAGGGACTCTCATCTGTTCCTCTTGCTGACCCCATCACCCAGCTCCAGCTCAGAAGGGAGCGGGGAACCATGGTCCCCTGTTCCCATTTTGCCGGGGCCGTCCGGCTCCTCTCCGTCCCCTGGCAAGGGGGTGTCCTTGCAGAAGTCCGTCACCCAGGAGGGCATCGAGAGGAAGCCCCGGGGGTCGACGGTGTAGAAGGGCTTAGCGTCATGGGCCACAGGGCCCCGGGACGATGGGCTGGTGTGGAGGCTGCTGGTGCTGTTGCACTTCTTCACAAGTGTCAGCCCTGGGGGTGGTGGGGAGGAGAGGGAGGTCAATGAGAGGCTGCTGAGGGTCTCCGAGGGCTCGCTGTTGTTGCCGCCCCCCCTCAGGCTGCTGCCCGCCCCCTCCTCATCTGAGGGGTCCATGGAGTCATGGTGGGTGCACCCAGGGCTGGTGCTCCCACCACTGCTGTGGCTCCGCTGGTGCCGCCGGATATTTTGCAGGCTGAAGATCCCCCGGCCCCTGAGACTCCGCCGGCGGGAGGCGGGGGACAGGGGGGCTGCCAGTGGTCTTTGGCTGGCGACGGCTGGCATGGGGCACAGAGCCACTGGGAGGTCCAGCGTGCACTGGGGAGAGTCGCTGAGGTTGAGGCTGTCCTCCAGCGTGGTCTGCAGGCTGCCCACGGAGCTGCTGCTCCGGCTGTCCAGCGAGTTGTCACTCCCAGGCCCCTAGGAACAACGGTGTGGAAATACATGGTTCTCAGGGAAGACACAAGGGTACAGGACCAAGAGATTGTTTTTTTGTGTGCTTTGGGCTCTGTAGTGTAAAATAAACTAAAATTATGGAGAAACTCGGGAAAAACTCCAGTTCCTCTCTCACTCATTCTTGTTGGGAATGCTTGGCTATGCAAGGTGGCAGCTCTAAGTGTTTGAAACATATTCCAGGAAGCAGCAGCCATGCAGGCTCTCCATGGCGTATCTCCGCAGCGGGTGCTTCTGGAAGATGAAAGGTTTCGGCATTTTTCAACTCTCATTTCATTCTGCACCAGGATGTATCTCCCTCTCCCATGAGGAATACCCCACCAGACAGGAGGTCTGTGAGTTCTGCAAACGCTGCCTGTGTGCTGCCCCTAAGCACTGGTGGCCCAAGAGGCTAAGGTTCTCTGTCATCATTGGCTCTTGGCTTCTGACTGAAGCTGCTAGACAGGCTGCAGACAAGTCAGAACCATCAGCTGGTCAGAAATCAGGTGGGCTTCTGTATACAGGTCACAGGAAGCCTTCTCTCAGAAAGTCACAGATTCACAGAAGGGAGGGCTTGGAAGGGACCTCTAGAAATCATATAGTTCAACCCCCCTGCTCAAGCAGGGACACCTAGACCATGTTACACAGTATCGGGCCCAGGTGAATTTTGAACATCTCCAGAGGAGACTCCACAACCTCTCTGGGCAGCCTGTTCCAGTGCTCTGTCACCTTGACTTCTGTCAAGAAGTTTTTCCTCATATTCAAGTGGAACTTCCTGTGCTTCAGTTTGTGGCTGTTGCCTCTTATCCTATTGCTGGTCACCACTGAAAATAATCTGGCTCCATTCTGTTGACAGCCTCCCTTAAGATATTTGTATGCACTGATAAGATCCCCTCTCAGTCCTCTCTTCTCTAGGTTAAACAGTCCCAGCTCTCTTAGCCTCTCCTCATAGGAGAGATGCTCCAGTTCCCTAATCATTTTCATAGGCTTATGCTGGACTCTCTGCACTAGTTCTTCTATGTCTCTCCTAGCAGGGAGAAAGAGAGGTTCTTACCTGACGAAGAAGTGAACAGTTGACACTCGGAGATCTCAGTGATGCCCATGAGCCTTGCAGAGAGATCTTAGGAAGGTTGTGTGGACATGAGACTTTTTCAGGGCCTGTCTGGGTGGCAGAGATGGCTGGGTGGAAAAATTCTGCTGGCACAGGTAAAAGAGGGCAAGATGTACCTGGAGAGAAGGGGCTGGGAGGGACTGACAAAACATCAAAAGGAATGGGGAGAACAAAACAGAAATAAGGTCAAAAGTCCTCTAATTTACTTTGGTACCTTTGTTGCTGCTACATAGAAGGTCCTGCAATTCCAAAGTACATACAATATGTAGTGACACATGTTGCTGATGAATCTTCAGAGTATGGTGTTCACACCATGGTCTCATCTTCTACACAGTGATCAAAACTGGTATGAGGACTAGAAGGACTAACACAGGTCAGAACAACAGAGCAAGAGCTTCCTTCTCCTGTAGTTTTCTTTCAAGAAAAAGCCTGAGCCATAAATATGCTTTGATTCAGCCATGTATCCCTCTGCCAAAGACCTTTCATCCCAGTGCCTACAAGGCAAAGGATGAAAGGAGACAAACTGGTGATTTGGCAAACTTAGGGGCCACAGGAAGCCAGAGAGTATTCCAGAGCGGAACTGTGACGCGTCTACCAAAGGCAGAGAGAAGCACTACCTGTTCATTGCAGCTGTACCTGAGGAACCTGGTTTCAGGGGACAGTAGTATGTTTTACCATGAAGAATGAACAGAGTGCATCCAGCCAAATACCAGCTGTAATGTCACTGGAGTCTGTATTCCTGGTTCTCTTTTACATTCAGCTATGACTGTGTGCAGGTGCATTACTGTAAATAAGAATCAATTCTTTCAGGATACTTCACACAGGCAAGTCTGAGGAAGAAGTCATTTGAGGACCTAGCAGTAAAAGCAGGAACTACTCTTCATCCCACTCCTGAGGGCTGGAAAACTGAAAGTTTATTCTTGATTTGCATAATCATATGTCAGATTAGCTCCATTCCTGGCAGGAGTAAAGCAGGAGAAAGGCAGCTGAGTTGAATCAACCCACACTTTCAGCAGACTTGGAGAACGATAAAAGCAGTCCTCACCTTTGGTACTTTCATGCTTCAGCCAAGACTGGACTGAGTTGAAAGAAGTTTTCTCCATTTCACACAGGTAACTGTCAGGGTTTGAAGAATCATCAGCACTGGTAATTGGGAGCAGGCATTCCCCCAGATCTCCTACCCCAGTGGAACCAGGGCTGTCCTGGCCATTCTGTTAAAAAAAATAAAGGAAAACAAAGTCTTGTGAAATTTAACAGCAAATGACAGAGCAGACTGGTCCAACCTTGAGAAAGGCTGATTCTGTATGGACCTTCAGCTAACTAAATAGCTACTCAGAAAGATTGTATTTCTGAGAAAAAAAAATTGACTTAAATTTAGGCTCATTCAGGGGAAGTTATTAAGAGTGGTAATGAGAACTTTCAAAATCATACATCCCTATATTCTGCTCAAATTCTTCTGCACAACATGTCTCTAAGAAGGAGCTCTTGAAAAGTGACCATCATTCATATTCTTCACAAGGGACACTCAGATGAATACAGAGCACTTCAGACCTAACAGCAATACAGTGTATGATACAACTTGTCTATTACCATCAGGGGCTAACCTTTGTCTCCTTAGGACTTAGTTGAGAAGTGCTGCGATTGTCTGAATCATCTCCCAGAAGGATGGAAGAGGACTTGTCTGAGTTGAGGGATAAGGCTTCCATTTCAGCTAGCTGAACCTGCAAGAAGGGAAAGGAATGGTCATGGGACATGCCTGGAGTCCATATTTCAAGAAGTCACACTGGTGTAGGTAAGTAACAGCCTGTAGACTTGAGAGCGGCTTTAAGTTTTATTCCTTGGATACACCAGACCTGAGTTGGGCAGGAGAATCCACTTTTAAGGAACCTTGAACATATAGTCTGCGAGCAGCCTGTGGCCAGTCCATGTTCTCCTTGTGACAGAACTGGAGAAAGGAGTTCCCAAATCCGTCCCAGCGATAAGGCTGGCACAAGGCCCTGTAAGCAAAGCCAGGTGAGGAGAGCAGTTCTCAGACTGGTAATAAAGCAGTCTGCTCTGTTGAGGGACGAGGAGTGGATCCCTCTTTCTGAAGGCGCCTCAGACAGCTCTGCTTAAATATGAAGGTGCTTTCATTCCAGGGATAGTCATGCCTCTTTCAGTCCATGCCAATATCATGCTTTTCATATCCTCTTACCTTCATCACTGAAACTCATTTCCCTTCAGCTTCCCCGCATTTTCCCTTTCCCCTCCCCACTAATATAAACAAGGCGCCCGCTAATACTATCACTATTCCTATTCTACACTTCTAAACTCATCCCTCCAACCCCTGCCAGATTTGTGCTGTCTTGCTTTCTGAAATCAAGTCTGGTCATTGAGTTTTTGTCATCCTTGAGGCTCAGGTGTGCTTCAGTCCCATGCCTACATTTGCTTCATCCCTTAGCCTGTTTCATACCACACACGCTCCTCTCCCATCCTCCCTTCTCAGAGCTTTCCATTCCCATTCCACCTTACCTCATCTCCTCCCCCAAAGCCTGAAAAGGATCTCCTTTCCTCTAGTAGCTGAAGCAGCTGCCCTGTCCCTCCTGTGTTCAGTTCTCCATTGCTGGTCTCTAAAGTCTCACTGGTTCCCAACACCAGCACCTGACCCTTAACAGTTATATTTTGGTTTGTCTCAATCAGGATTCCTTGTGTCTTGGGCAGTTTTATGTGTTTGTAAGAGGCAGGTACAGTTTTCATCTTATAACAGCAGGTGGAACATTTAGAGAGATGACTCCTTCGAGCTGGGAGTTTGGTGGCCTGTGCCAATGCCAGACACCGGAAGAGGTCTCCATCTGAGGGATAATGCACTTGGAATAAACAGAAGGGAAAACCTGAGCTGGATTTAAATAAAGGATGCAAATGGCATCCATCTTTTGGATATTATTTTGACATACAAACATGGTGCCATTCAACCATGAAGAGAGCCCAAGGACAACTGCTGCTGCTCGTAGCACAGATGCACCAGAGAACCCACAATGGTGTTATGCCAAGCACACTACACAGCCATCAGTCAGCAACAACCTGTGTACAGAAACACATCCAGTCCTGTTCAATGTGTGTACTCATCCATTACTTGCATAAGTGCTTGTCTCACCAGAACAGCCTTATAGCTGTGCTTGTAGAGATGCAAGCATGAAATGTGATAACATCTGAGACTACCTTCTCCATCCATAAAAAAGGGTTTCAACAAAAGTCAGAATAGTCTGTTCTTCACTGACTGCTTGCTCACAAATTCTGGCCACCTTGGGATCTACACAAAAAAACATAATCAACCAAGCCATGAATAGACAAACTGCGTTTGTGAAAACATTGCTCACTGCTGCTCATTGACAAACTTCTGCCACTAGCTAAATACACCATCAGCCACCAAGACTCAAATGTGTCACTGTCAACCAGCCCGAGAGTGAAAGGACAGAGATGACATGAGATGAGGTTAACACTATGAAGGGAAAAAAAAAAGAAAATCATGTTCTTCAATCTGGTAAATTGCATTACTGCAGAATATTTTAAAATCTTTTGACTAAAAATGAGGGTGAGAAAAAAGAATTGCACTAGGGGAAATGGGGTGTTCAGTAGAAGCAAGGTCTTCAAAAATTGCTTGGGCATCAACTTCAGGCACTGAACCATACATATCCCTTAGAAAAAAACTAGTTGCAGATACAATACATCTTTAAAAACAGAGTCAAAATTACAAAAAAACCTTAGTTATATGAATAATTGTTTTGAAAATGTGATGCCAGGAAAGATGCTGAGTACTTCTACTCAATGCAACAGAAAGTTGAGCCCATATTAATAATTTTGAGAACATGTCTAAGGGTTGTATTCCTTCACAGTACTCAGCATCTTGATGGACTAAATTACAAATGAGATGGGAGCAAATGTTTTTGGCTAGTATGTCATTTTTGCCACAAGGGCAGCATTAACAGTGATTTGGTGTGCTATGAGCATACTATTTTGTTCAAAAACACATGTATTGAATATGGTGAGATAAAAACTGCTCTGGCTTCTAACATAGCTTAGTACAATTCTGCTGCTTGTACCATGTACATTCTGATACTCTGGTAATATTACTGCATCTAGGTACACTCTAGTGTACAGGCCTTGATGTGACACAATATAGTGGCTTGCCTTTGGAATTTCCATGTTGTTTTTTGCATTCTGAAATACAAAGAGAAAGTCATGATCAACTGTGAGTTAAAATTTTGAGCTGTAGTTTTGATTTAAGGATAATAAAATTGACATTTTACTGTTGAATTCATTCTTGCAGATATAAAGAATTTATTTTCAATTCTAGATTTTACGTATGCTTAAATAGCAATATTGAAAAATATTTTATGGAAGTTATTTGAAAAATAACTCTCATCTATAAAAAAATTGATTGTGATTATTCTATCAAACTATTCTTTGCTGGATTTGTGTTGTAATTGCAGAATTTGCTGTCTGTGTTCCTTGCTGAGAAGGTGAAAAAAATATGTTGTCTTCATTCATAGACAGGATACTAAAGACTATCTCTAAGATTGTCAGATGGAACTATTTAGCATCTTCTTAATTTGGGGGTAATCATTCTGGAATGTCTTAGAAGGACAATTTCCTGAGAAGGCTGAGCCTCACCTGCTCAATATAAGGACTGAACTAAAACACTAGTGACTTGAACCACTCATTATTTGTCTGTATTAGTGCAGCATCCATGGCTTAAGTGTTGCAGTACTGAGAAACTACTACAATGTTTGCATTTTGATACCTTCAAAGAGAAGCTATTGGAGCAAGTAGATAGCTAAAAGGCTGAGAAGATTTAGAGCATCAGAACTAGGGGTCGAGACAGACTCCTAGTCTCAAACTCTCTTTAAATCACTCTCTTTAAGTAAGCATAATCTGGCAATGACTTTCCCAAGTTTCATGTTTTCTTTATAAGCTGTAACAACATAACATGCAAGTTACGTGGAAGGAGATGGTGAAGATTGCCTCTGATGTACTGATGTACTGACCTAAGCTATTGACACAAGCCTGACCATGGTAAAAACACTTAAATACAACAACATGATTTCAGAAGCAAATATAATTCTGTTTCTCACCTGATTTCTTTCTGGCTACTTTGCTCCTAAAGTTTCACAACACAAAGAGACTAATTGTTAAGGAAGTGTTCTTCCAAAGCATCTATAAACTTCAGGAGCACAAGTCTAAGTCACTTGGTAACCTATTCTTAGTGGCAAGACATTTGTCAGTTAGCAAGTTCTACATCAGAAAAGTTAGCAAGTTCTACATCAGACTAATTAACTAGCTTTCATCACAAACCAATCCTTGTTCACAGATGGTGACTCTGTTCAACAAGGCATTTAAGCATGTGCTTAACTCACCAACCTCAATGGGAAATTAGCAAGCACATACTTAAAATGAAGAAAAAATACATACCTAAATCTTCCACTGAATTGGACCTGAGTGCTATCATTTGGGTGAGATCCCACCAGTCCTTTCTACAACATGAGCCTGAACCTCTGCTTTTCATGCAGAGCTGAGCACAAGAGGATACCCTCAAAGTCAATCCTCTCCATATGCAGTCAGTCCTGAACAGTGTCCTGGCACATCTCACCTTTCCACCACCACAAACATCCTCCTGGGCTAAGGAGAACAGGCCAATACTAGGCAGTTATCAGCAGCACATGACAGATGACAACAGGTCAAGCCCTCTGTCTACACAATCTACAGTGAGGAGCACACATCAGATGACCTGTGGGCATGTGGATGTGAGTGCGCAGGTTTTGGGGGGAGACTCCCCTCACGCATCCTCGTACGCAGGTTACCTCTTGCTTGTCATGGTTACACTTCTCGCACATGGCCGGCGAGGAGTAATGATGGAAGACGGAGCCCGATAGGTTATCGATGATCATTAACTCCCCGTCGAAGGAGTCCTTAATAATTAAAGAGACACTGTCCAGCCATAAGTTCTCCTAGGGGACAAGAAAGGGGGGAGGATGGGAGAAATTATTTTAAGAATACTGAGTTTTTTGCTTCGATGTTTAACGTGAATTTGGGGCTGGGCTTTCCACCCTGACTCATCAGAAGCAGCACTTTGTACTGCAAGTACCTGCACAGGGTCTTTGGGGGAACATTTGCTCCTTAGGGCATGTAAAGAACGCCTTGCCTGAAACCAAGGCAGAAGGGAAGAAGGAGGGACAGCCTTCACTCATTGTCAGTGCATCATGGCACTGCTCGTGACTCTTTTCCAGCTCTGCTGATGTGTTTCACTCTTGATCTGCTGTTTCCCCTGCTTTCTTCTCCTGAGCTCCCCTCTCAAATATGTCCCTAACACACCTTGAGCTGATTTGCTCCATCCCTCTTCTAGCCCTCAAGTTCCTACAACATGACACAACTGAACTTCTAGGCAGTGCTAGAGGACCCCCTGCTATCACATCTGTGCTCCCATGCCAGTCTACCAACTCATCAGCCTACAGCTGAAAGCAAATCTCTCACCCTGAGGCAGAAGAGTCTGTCTCCTGCTGCTAAGCCCTCAGGTGCCTGGGCTGCCTGGCTTCTCCCAACAGTCACCTGCTGCAGTGTGATTGGTAAGCATAAAGGTATACCCACCTGTGCTGGAGAGTAACATCTCATGCATAGACGTCCTTCAGGATCTGTTCTCCCACCACCTCCTCCTGTTCCTGTTCCTGCTGCTCCTCCTTGTCCTGACTTTGGGGAGCCTGACTTGCGGGAGCACAGCCCGTGTGAAAATTCCAGCTCAATCTCAGCATCCATTTCTGCATCCTCCTGGGCCTCTTTGTTGCTGTCGTCCAGGTGTTTCATGAGCACAGCTACCACCACATTGATGAGGACAAACTGGGCTGTGAGCACAAAGCTGACAAAGTACAGCGGGGAGATGAACTGCAGGTTGCTGAGGCAGCTCCGATCATCGTGGCTGCAGTCACGCAAGGTATCCTTCAGGGGAAGATGGGTTTGAGAGGGAATGAGGGAAGGAAGGACTAAAGTAAGAATATAAATTTGGCTGATCTTTCAGTCAAAAAACACTGATGCCAGCGGAAAGAATGGCCAACATTGCTATAACCCTCACCCTCTGGTATCATGGGGTCCAAGAATTGATGACACTGTCTGAGCATGAGGTATGAACTGCACTCTGTGCTTCAGAGCAAATACCTCCAAAGATTTCCAGAGCAAACTCCTTCCAGACCACCACATGTTGCAGTAGCCCTGCACATGTGCTAGTGCAGCTTGACACTGCCTTCCCCCGCCCAGACTAAAAAGAACCATATGTGTTCAAAGAAGTTTACTTCCTTTCCTCCATCTTCTTTGAAGAGAGGAATTTTGGTTTTGATACTCCTGGTCTCTCTGCAGATGAGTGACATGTCCAGTGCTCCTATATTAAAGTTTGATAACAGGTCTTATGACAGTGGATATTCTCTCCTAGCTTGGATGCTGTCTTCTTCTTCATCCCAATGACAGTTTGCACTTGTCTGAATCATAAGGCTGTAGGACTAGATGAGCCCAAAATCTGAGATAGTGTTGTGGGGAGGGAGATTCTGACCCAGTCTGGGACCGGATCTAGCAGCTCAGATCCAGTTTTCCCTCCCTTTCCAGTCCGAGCAGAGCTTAACAAATCAGAATTTATCCTTCCTCAGAACAGGAATATCAATGCTCCTAAGGCATTATTACCTTCATGATCCCATTCCAGTTGTCGCCTGTGGACACCTGGAAGAGTGTGAGGAAGGCCATCCCGAAGTTCTCAAAGGTAGCGTGGCGGCTCATGCCCTCACAGGGGTTCTCATCATTGCATACTGAAAGGAAGGGGAGCACAGCTGTCAATGAAGGCTATCCTGCCACCTCTAACATCACCAAAATGAACTGAGGAGGGGGCTCTCAGGCCTCTCACAACTTGAAGACCTCAATTAATGGCCCCAGCATGCTGTTCAATAGCTGGATATTGCTATATAGGACACAGGGCTATTGGGCAACAAAACTTAGTTGCTCGGGGTATTCTCTTAATAGGTCATTGTGCTGCCTTTTTTCTTGATTGCTGATCCCTGGCAAAAGACATGAGTAAGGTTTCCCTGAGTTTTTCCTGTAATCTTGAAGACAGGCAAAGTTGCTTTTTTTAAAAAAAAAAAAAAAAAGTTTCAGAATGAAAGAGAAACTGGGCACTGCTTTTATTCTGAGACTGGCTGTTAAGACAATGAAAATTTAGAGGGAAAATCCTCTTTTATCAAATATACATAGGGGAGAATAAAGGACACCACATAACTTAGTTCCTTTATTAAATCAGTACTGAGCTTGTTGTGTGACGAGAAATCTCTGATTCCCAGGAGATCTGTAGCTCACACTGGAGCACAGTCTGCTTAAAACTTACCTAGTTTTCCAAAAAGCTCCACTCCTAGAGCAGCGTAGATGAAAAAGAGGAGCATGAAAAGCAATCCAAGGTTCCCCACCTGAAAGTAAACCATATGGTCAGCCTACCCTAAAAACTACCTCATCCAAAAAGGAGAGTGTAGATCATATCTTATCCAAGATCTGCTTTTCAGAGCCAGAACAAAAGAACAGCAAATTCCCAGTGTACAAATGCAACCAAACAACGCTCAGAACATGGGATATCAACAGTCCATACTACTACCCAACACGTTACCATCCATGTTACAACAGCTATGCTTAAAGGATGCTCCGCTCCCAGCTACCTCCAGCACTTCAGGACACACTCCATTCAGGGCTGGGTAAGGTGTGCATCCATGTTGTGGGTCAGACGGAGACAGACATGTTGAAGAGGGGCACAGAGAAGTCAAATTGGATGTGTGAAGGATGATCTATGGATTACAGAATACAGGCAGTGTGCTGCAATGCTACATGCCCCACCAAGCTACCTAACTCCCTCAAAGTTATGCCTGTGTAAAGAGCAATACAGCAATGCTTTGAAGGAGAGGCATAAATACAGCAGTTCCTTTCATGAAACCAGCAGAGGAGGGTGGGGAGGCAAAGCACCAACCACATCCAGAGGAGTGAGGAAGACTTGTGGAGAGAGTAAACAGGAAGAGTGGATGAAGAGACCCTTTTGAGATGTGTGGAGAGGAAGAAGGATAGAAAAGCAGACTGAGGGAACCAAGAGGGAAAGCAGAGCTATGCTGCTCTTTGTTCCCATGAATAAAAGAGCAAACTATGGTTCTTAGGTCTCCAGCATTTGTTGTGATGATGGCTGCATGGTGCACAAAGGCATAGTGCACAAAGCAAATTGCAAGAGCAATAAGACTTTTGACATTGTCGCATAACATCCTCATTGGCAAGCTCAGGAAGTGCAAGCTAGATGAGCAGACAGTGAGGTGCACTGAAAATAGGCTGAAAGGCAGAGCTCCAAGGTTTGTGATCAGTGGTGCAAAGTCTATTTGGAGGCCAGGAGTCAGTACTGGGTCCAGTATTGTTCGGCTTATTCATCTGTGACCTGGATGAAGGGACAGAATGCACCCTCATCAAGTTTGCTGATGATACTAAACTGGGAAACATGCCTGATACTCCAGTACTGTGCTGCCATTCCGAAGTGCCTTGACAGGTTGCAGCGACGGGCAGAGAGGAACCTCACGGAGTTCAACAAAGGGAAGTGCAGGGTCCTTTACATAGGAAGGAATAACCCCATGCACCAGTACAGGGTGGGGATTGGCCTCCTGGAAAGCAGCTCTGCAGAGAAAGACCTGAGAGTCCTGGTGGACTGCAGGCTGAGCATGAGCCAGCTACATGCTCTTGTGGCCAAAAAGGCCAATGGTCTCAGCATTAGGCAGCAGGTCGAGGGAGGGAGTCCTCTCCCTCTACTCAGCCCTGGTGAGGTCACATCTGGAGTACTGTGTCCAGTCTGGGCTCCTCAGTACAACAGGGACATGGAGCTACTGGAGTGAGTCCACTGGAGGGCTGCAAAAATGATTAAGGGACTGCAGTATCTGTCTTATGAGGAATGGTTGAGAGAGCTGTGCCTGTTCAGTCTGGAGCAAAGAAGACTGAGTGGGAATATTATCACTGAATATAAATATCTAAAGGGATTGTATAGAAAGGATGGAGACGGACACTTTTCCTTTGTGGCACAGGAAGTTCTGTCTGACCATGAGGAAAAACTACTTTACTGTGAGGGTGCCTGAGCACTGGCTTCTCCGGGGAAGTTGTGGAATCTCCTTCCTTGGAGACAATCAAAAACTGTCTGAACATGACCAAAGGCAGCATGCTCTAGGTTGAACCTGCTTGAGCAGAGGGCCTATACTTGATCTCCAGAGGTCCCTTCCAACCTCAAAAATTCTGCACCCAAGGCCTCACTTCTCCATATCACTGCTTGCCTCTGATTCTTTTGCCTCCCATTGTGAGGGGCAGCAGATTGTATCTGAAGTGGGGAGGTAGAAAAGGCAGTCTGAGCAGAAACAGAAAATGCCAGCAATGTTCACCGAACTAGTGGGGCAAGGGAAGGTAGGGTCAAATTAAAGACTTAAATGATATCTGGAGATATTTGAAAAAAAATAGAGTCTGATCTGAATGTCTGTCAGTGAGCGGTCCTTTGGTCCGTGCTAGGATTATCTACTTTAGGAGTCTTAATATAGTTGTTGCAACTCTGGTGGCATCCAAATTCAGGAGAGAAATATATGATTCAGCCCACCCACTCTTCTGGGCTGCCAGATGCTGGCTCCCTGCATATTCAGTGGAAGGAATTATTTGTGATGACTAAATTGGACACCTCTAGTAAATACGTATCCCTCTAGACCTTTAGCTACAGGGCTTTTTTTTTTTTAAAGAAAGAAAAGAAGCATGATAAAATTCAGCTAAGGGCTAAATTTCCAAGAGGCTCTTAAAAATTAAAGCTTTATTCATTTCTAAGAATTGTTGCAATATAACAAAGACAGGAGGGGAATTGAAATAGGGCAACTGGAGAAGCCTTATAAGCCATTAGCAAGCCAAAATCCCTTATGTGACTCTGTGTTCCAGGAACATAAAGAGAAAGGTTGAGAGGAAGAAAAAGCGCAAGGGAAAGGACAGCTTATTTTAAACTGCTTCTTTTGCCAAAGCCAATAAATCTTGGAGAATAGTATTACAGATAATTCAATTGTCCCCTGAAGAGTCAGTGTATAAAATATGGAGACAAAATTCGATCTTTTAACAGTGAAACTGAGGGATTTTAGCACAGCGTTAAGTGCAGATTTTGACGCAACTTTAACTATGGAGTGATTTTTTGATCTCTCTGTTATATAATTATAATTAAATGAAGCCAACCTATTACAGAAGGAAATAAATGCCAGTCAATAGGGAGCGGACTGTTCACAAGCATTGATGCTGGGAGTATTACTTGTTATTAGTTGCCAGGGAATACCTCAAGGCCAGATCTTCAGACATCTGCTCGTGAAGGTTTTGTGGCAGATATTAATGACCTCCAAAAGACAGATCATCTTGGTTAGCAAAAGAGCTGTAGAAGGCAAATACGTGTGAGAAAAGCTGGAATTTATTAAGTTGGAAGAATATACTTGTGGTTTGTGGCTAACACCAGGAAGTAGGGCTCAGAGGCTTGGACTGAAGTCTCAGCTCTGCACTTTGTGTCCTGGGCAAAATATTTCATCACTTGATGGCTCTTTTTCTCAATCTGCATGACAGGATATGAACATTTTCCCCCTCTCCTATTTCTTCTCCACACATTGGCAGTAGAAGCTGTCTTTCACCTTATAAGTGCAAATATTCTTCAGAGTCTTCTCATTTAGGGCCTCTGGATACTATTTCACTCGGTTCTTAATATGTATGTGCATTTATCTGATTTGCAGAATAAACATGCCACAGACACATAGACATTGGATCTGGAGACATGCCCACTCCAGATATTTTCCTGAGCAAATGAGTTGTTGAGGCTCTTGGAACTGAAAAGAACAAAGTGCATAGAGGCTGCGCAGATCCAAATTGGGGGCAGCAGAGCCAGAGCTAATAAACATTACCAGTCCAAAGTGGCCTGCTACAAAGAAAACCTTAATATTCTGTTTTTCCATTGTCCAAGATATATCAGCTACCCTGGATGAAAAAATATATTATTATACATGCAATATATTAGTATTATATGCAAATACAAATTATTATTGTATAATAAAGCATGGGAAATCAGAAAGAGCTCAGAATTCAGGGAAGATCACCATCTTTTCCCCTCATTTTTGCCCCACATGATTCCTGTAATTCAGATTGACATCATTTATTGTCACTGACATCAGAAGTAAATTCCTTGTGTAACTACTCATGCTGTTTTCAGATCGATTTTCAGCCCTGCATCACTCATAAACACTGGCACATTAGCTGATAAATCAACTGACAAATACTGTTGCATTTTGATATCATGCAAGATAGCTGTCTGCCCCAGACCTGCCATGGGAATGATCTGACATATGATCAATAGAGTGACTTGGTGCCATTACTCCTTTCTTAACAATTCTCCCTTAAGCAACCAAAACAAAGGAGAAGAGCCTCCCTGACTGCTCATCCATCATGGAGGATCCTCTCGCGGGGCTGGATGCCTGTGTAAGGCACCATGTCAGCCTCTCACTCGGGAACAGCTGCCTTTCACAGCTCATGAAATCCTTCTGTCTAGCTGTCTTTCAGTAGACGCTTAACTGCCGGCTGCGTGAGCCACAACAGAGAGCGTCACTGCTTATCATACACAAGAGGTTCAGAAAAGTGTAAGGATCCAGGAGGAGGAAGGGAAAGAAGAAAGCAGGAATGAGGAGGCACTGGCTATGAACAGGAGTGAATGAGAGAGAGCAGGAAAAAGGAGGCACCTGTGGGGAAGGGTGAATGTGGCAGAGACCGCGATCTGCTTTCCTCCTGAAATGGCTGCCAGTCACTCTCCCCTTCTTATGGAGAATAGAGAGAGTAGCTGTTGACTAACAGCAAGCAGTAGGACACTACCTGGACATCACGGGAAGAAACTTGTGTTATCCAGGAGCAAGGCATTATTTAATTCAGCCACCACAGAATAAAGATTTGAGGTAAACTGCACCCCAATATTGGCACAATAACCTGGACATCACCTGCTGGTCCACCTGCTTGCACCATTCAGTAGACACCATCTTTGAGGCTGTATGTGCACCAAGGTAACTGGTGACTGACCCTTTGGGGGTCAGTCTGACCCTTTGGGGGAAAAAAAAAAAAACAAAAAAAAACAAAAAAAAACAGGTGCAGAAAAGGAGAACCGTTAGGGAAGTGCATCTTTCTTACCTGTGGCAGGGCTTGAACAACTGTATCCAACAGCGCTCGCATTCCTGTGGCCATCTTCAGTAGCTTCAAGACTGCCACAACAAGCACAAGATGAATGTCACTCAGACTCAGCTCAGAAGGTCCATCCGTTAGGTGACCAGCACATGAGACAGAAGACTGGCTCCCTTTGCCCCAGAACAACTGCATTTTCTCTCTCATTCCCTTTCTCCATTTGCTCTCTATTTTTGACTGTACAAGTCCAGTGGTTCTTTTCCCTCTAGTCTTTCTATCTTCTTAGTAAATACTCTTTCTTCACTCATGCTTACTGGTTTCTTCCACTCTGCTGAAACACACTCTGACCAAGGAACCTCTTTCTCTCAGCAATTTATATCACACTTCTCCCTCTGCTTCAATTCTTCATGCTTTTTATCACCTTCTCTCCCTCCTGCCACTGTCCATGCATGCAGTTGAGCAAGTCTCTGCCATTATCAGGAATAATTTGGTACTCTCCCTAGGCAAGCTCCAAGCCAGTTTTGGAGGCTCCTTTCCAAAAACCACAACAATACTTGCCCATACAAGAATAACAAGGAGAATTCAGCTCTCACATCCCACTGCCTCCCCCCAGAGGTAGGGATAGGAGAAGCCCATAGCTCTACAGCTCAACATTGAGCTCTACAGCTCAATGCAGAGTCCCAGCCCAAGTCTGCCTACAGCACTGACTCCAGCCAGCATCTGTCTCACCCCGAGCGATGCGCAGCACCCTCATGATGCGGATGATAGTGGGGTTAATGGGTAGAGCAGCATTGATTTCAATCTCTTCCAATGTGATTCCCATGACAGACAGCAGCACAATGGCCAGATCTAGCTGGTTCCACCTTAAGAAGAAAAATTAAGGAGGGTAAACAAAGACAGATTTTTTTTCACGTCCCTAAAAGATAAAGTAAATTGTTTTCACTTCAACCTAAACATTTCTTAATGTGTGAATCCACAGTCCCATTCTGAGTCAGTCTACATGAACTTTTGTAGACAGTCACAGATACACTTTGCACAGACTGTGAGCAGTCAGAGGCAAGCCAGACTGATTTGAAAGCATGGAGTTACGCTACTACAATGGGCTCAGCTTCTTTTATCTCAGATCAGGATGGTTATATACATTCAGTTTTATACATTCAATTATATATGTTCAGCTTTTAGTTTGGCCCAAGAGCAAAAACGTAACAAAACAAAACAAGCTGTCTCTAAACCCACCTCCTTGCTATCTAGAATAGTCAGCAGATGCCAAAAAAGAGGCAGTTTTTGCACAAGTCTCATTATTGCCTAGGAATTGAGACTCATGTGGGCTGTAGCAGGGTCCATGCTATACTGAAAAGGGAGGCAGCAGGGCACCCTTTGCTAAGCATCACACTCCAGCTAGGGATCCATCCTCAAAACCTCCACCCCAAATCCAGCTGTCCCACTCACATGCTTGACACAACCCCTCTGCTCACCTGTCTTTGAAGAATCGCCGCAGCCCAAATGCCACCAACTTGAGCACTGCCTCCAGCACAAAGACTGTGGTGAACAGGTAGTTGCAGTATTTGAGGGCTGTCTCCAAGGACTGCCAGCAGAAAGAGAGGGTGAAAGAAGTGAAGAGAGAGCAGGACCAAGTATGTAATCACGTGGGCTCTCCTAAGCACCAGTAATTCATTTGCAGACAGCGAAATTGTCCCAGACTACCCACATCAATGTGGAGGCTTTTTTGTGGGCAACCATGGACCCTCTGCTCCATGTTCCTTTCAGAAATGTTCATTGTTCCTTTTTCCTCATCTGCTCAGCACAAAGGGGAAGAGGAAGTTATCATAAGGGCCATCCACCAAATATTATTATCTTTCTCCCCTACAGCCTGTGTCACCTGGATGCTGCCTACTAATGGCACTGACGTAGCTTGGAGTGAGGCAGAAAGGTCATTTCTGCTGGAAAGAAATCCTTCTCTGCCTTAAGCCAGGGCTGATATGCACCATATCTAGACTTCTGGTTCTTCCATGTGTGGCCCCTTCTCCACCACCAAGAACTTGCAGACAGTATTTAGTGGCACTTCTACTGCAGACGTTCAAAGCTCTTTACCAGGGTTTTTTACTGGAGCCTGACAGCATGCAGGCATGGGTAGACCTGCTTTACAGTGGAAGGAACAGAGGAGTAAGGAAGAGCAGTGCTTGCTCAGGAACAAAAGCCTGGCATGAGGCTCAGACAGATAATGGCCAAGAAGAGTTCTGAAGAGTAAAACTATGGGCACCATCAAGGAGAAGATAAGAGGTGGGCAGGTGAGCAAAATGGGCAAGAAACACAGAGGAACCTGGCAGTGGATTTGAATGATGACATAGATTCAGTTCTTCATCAAAGCCTGAGCTACCTGAACAGCACCTGCTCAGGCACCATAGCTGTCACCTAAATCAAGGGTCTCCTGAAGAGAAAACTGACTCATCACTGAACAGATATCCATTTGTCCACATAAAGAGGCAGAAATCCCTTTCTATGTATGCAGCACACGTTCTTTTCATCAGAGGCTTCCAGAGGTCTGCAAGTAACTGAGAGATACCTGGTCTTCCCTAAGGTAAATATTATACTTCTTCACAGTAAGGAGCCTAGAATCCTGAATAACTCCCTGCAGCTGAGAGAGGCTTTCTTCACAGCTTGCTTCTGCAGCTTCTCCTGTGGAAGAAATGTGGTTGGGTAGAGGGATCCCCCTTAATGGCACACAACAAGCCACTCTAGTCCTCACAAGTCAGGACATGCATGAGAAGTGGACTGACATTTGAAAGTCTGATGCAAAGCCTGAAGCTCCTGGGGCACTCTGCTACTTCCACCACTTTCACTACACACTCACTTAATAATAAAAGGCTCATAAGCCTAACTCCACAAAGCTTTCCAGGGCCTAAGTCTTGTTTGGATGGATAACAGGTGTCTGAGCAGGGTCTACTTTTCTGGATGCGTACCAAATTCCTTCTTGCAACACTTACATAGTATTTTTCAGACACTCACCTCTCCTACCAATTCTGGTGAACAGTGATCATCAGAAAGCTGTAGCAAAATAACATAATTACTAGAGGCAGGGCTTATCTCCATGATCTCACTCACCACAGGTTGGTTGTAGTGCTCCAAGGACATGGTGACCACGTTGAGGCAGATGATGAAAGTGATGAAGATGTCCAGATAGTGGCTCGTGCAGACTGAATGGATAAGGAGGCGTATGGGGCAGTAGGTAGCATAGTACGGCAAACGCTGTGCCTCTTCAGCGGAAAGAGGGAGAGGGGAACAGTTAGCAGGAAATTGGAAGAAAGAGAGAGATGGGTAAGAAACACCAATCAGGGAGCAGGCATTGAAGTAGGGATAGGTTTTGAAACAAAAACAGGTGAAGGAGGGAGAAAGAAAGAAAACAAAAGGATAGATAAGAGATAGGGGACATCATAGAAAGAAAAAAATAAAATATCATTAAAAAGAGGAAAGCAGAAAAGGGAAGAAAAATAAGTAGAAAAAAAAAAAGGAAGGAGTCATAGATAGAAAATCTGTTAGTCTATGTTTGTTGGAATGGTGCTAAATCAGCATTTCATGCCTCCACAAATTAAGATCACAAATGATAAAAGGAAGCAGATGGTTCCAGGAGAGACCCCAGGGTGTCACAGGAGAGAGGGAAAAACTGGAGCAGAGGAAGGGAAAGCATGCCCACAGGCTGTGAATGGAAGAAAACCATCAGTCTGGGGTAGTAGTGATGATTTCCAGGGGTGAGTGTGCCTTTGCGATTTTTTCCTATAAAAACACAGAAAAGGACAGAAACACCAGGGAAAGGGCTTGCTTCCCGCCAGAGGTCTGGGACACCAAGGAGGGATGCTACAAAACTGATGGAAAGAGCTATAAACAAGAGAGAGGGATTTTTTTCACTCTCCCCTGCTTTTTGATTTTGATTTAAACACAAAGGACAGACTATTCAAGCCTCCCTGATGATACATGCAGGTACATACACTCATGTATTTTTAGTATGTGTAATTTCCCAAAGGGCAGTGTGATAAAGCTCCTCTGGTGCCCCAGCTTCCCAACAGACCTCTTCAGCCAACTCCCCTTCCCCAAATTGCCCTAGTATAGTGCACAGCAATGCAGCAGTGGTGCAGGGAGGGAGACTGAAAGCATGGGCACAAGCAATGAATTTCAGGAACCAATCCGCCAGGAAAGAAAAAGAAGAGGAGAAGGTTTTTCTCAGAAAACCTTGGCCTACGAACCGACCAAACACTTAGGCTGTGCCTTACTCCTTCGCTTCTTCTCCAGGCGCCGCAGGCGCTTCTCCTCCCGCCGGCGTGCCTCCTCGGCCTCCTGATGCTGCCGGCACTTGTGGAAGTTCTCCACCACCACCCCCACAAACATGTTGAGCACAAAGAAGCTGACGATGAGGAGGAAGGATATGAAGTAGAGGAGCATCCAAGGGTTGTTGTTGATCACTGGCTGGAGAAGGCGGGAGAGGAGAGACGTTGTGGTCAGTGGACTGGTAGTATGGAAATGAAGGGGCTGAAACCACCTTGGTGACTGGCTGCTGGGCAGGTGGGCAGGGTTATGGAAATGAGGGAATAAAGGGCTCATGTAACATTTACCTGAACCCACACAGTTCAAGCCTATGGCGCTGTACCAACACTGTTACAGTCAATGTGAGTGTTACCCTCGCCTTAGGGGTGGAGCAATGGTGGCCAAGCAGCTGAACAGTCCTTGTTTACTGAGTAATAGAGTAACCACTTCTGGGCCTGGAAGAAGCCAGCACACCCAGAGAAGCACATGATACTTTGCTAAGGCTTTACAAAGAGATGGGACCTGGGGACCTGCCCTGTGACACAAATTGAATAAAGGGTGTGGGAATTACTGTAGTCATCCACCAGACAGCCACAGCTGCAATTCCCTGCATGGACACGGCCTACCCCTGACCACTGCAACTGGGTGAGTGAAGGATTCAGAAGAACCCTAAAAGGAACCCTAAAAGAAGAACCCTTGTCAGAGAGAGGTGTCTGAAGCAGTATGTTACAGCAGTAGCCTGAAGTCAAGAAGGTCCTTTGTAAGGAAATCTTTGTACCTGTTGGTCAACAGCCACAGCATCCAGTCCATTATACATAATATTGACCCAGCCATCTTTGGAGGCCAGCACAAAGAGGGACATCAGGGCCTGGAACACACAAAGCATATCATATGTAGAGCAAGTGTATCTGGCAGGCAGGGAAAAATTAGTGTTTTACATTCTAGCACACAGTGTTGAAATTCTCTTCCTGTCTGTGTCTCTGCACATATCAAAACCTACTCCTACTGTGAAAGGAGAGCGAGGGAGGGACAGGAAACTAAGTGCAGCCTGACCCACCACAGAAGAGAAGTCTTGAAGAACATCTGTTTTATGGTAGGAAGAAAAAGAAAATTAAGCTCTCTGCTGCCACCCCTTTTCTTCCCTCTTGTAACCTGCAAGTTTCATCCTAATATCAGCTCACTAGTGGCAGAGACTGCACTGATACCCATCCACCACACTCCCTTTCCTTGACCTGGAGATCAGTCTTCTCAGGCACTGTATCTGTGCCCCACACAAGGACATACAGAGAAGGTGACAAGCCTTGAACTGGACTCAAACTGTGAAAGAGGGCTATGAGCATACTCACCTGTCCAAGGTTGTCAAAGTTGTACTTGTGGTGCACCCACTTGTAGTTGGCAGCCACACAGTCAGATCTGTTGGTGATGTTCCTGATGTCGACCCCCAGGCAGTGGTAAAACTTCCCCTTGAAGAGCTGCAGGAGGGGAGCAACTCTGTTAGCCCACTTCCCCTCCAGTTGTATCCCCTCTCCCAGGGCACAGAGAGCAACAAAAGGGTCCTCTGAGACAGCCAGTGAACTGCAGAGCTCCTCCAGCTGCAAGCCAAGTGGCAGAGGACCGATAACGAGGGCCACCAGCACATCACATAACAGACTCCCCTGGCAGACTCCCATGTCATGCATTGCTAAGGACCCAGAGCCAACCTGTTAAACCCACATCTGGATTTTCAGCCTCTTTCACTGACCCAGACCAGTAGTGACTGTAAGTTCTCATCATCTGGAAGCCATTAGGGCTGCCTTTTGGAGCCCAATTAGAGACAGTGGCCCAAGGGGAAAAAAATATCTTCTATTCAGTCCCTCCAGCCATGCAGTCTCCCCTTCTGCTTCCCAATTACCAAGTAAGCTGAAGGGAAAAAAAGACCTCATCTGACGGTAAAGAAACAGAAAAAAAACATCCCCTCCTTCTCAAATACTTTTTTTTTTTTTTTTGGTAAAACTGCACTGATGTGATTCTTCTGCCCAAGGCACCTTTCCCCATATGGAACATACTGAATTGTGCATTTGTACAAACTCATCAGAACAGACTAAGTATAGCGCATTCTCTGAGATGGAAGTAACACCCACGCCTGTGCTCCTCTGCAACGCAACAGCCGAAAATAAAGAGGATTAAATAAAAGACGGTTGTGGGTGGATTTAGGGTTCAGAGTGAGGGGGAGAAACAACTGGCTGCAGACAGAGATCAGGCAAACAGGCTCTGAGATGCTTACCTTTCCAGAACTGTGTAGATCTGTCCCTGCGACACCAGTCCTGGCCCCTCCCTATAGCAGGGATCCAAACCCTGCCCTCCTGCTAGCTGTCTACACATCCCGTCTCACACATCCACACATCCATCTCACACTTGTGCTTGCTGAGCACCCAGCTGTCATTGCCAATGGCTGTGGGGACGTTCTGGGGTGCGACAGAAGAGCTCAGGGAGGTGGGGAAGGTGCTGAAAGTTTCCTAGCTTGCCTGTCCCTCCTGCTCTGCTCAGCTCCCTGTGCCTGTTGCAGTGTTTGGAGACACAGGTTCCCTAAGATAGGGGTGGTGGTGGGACAGGTAAGGCAGGTTGCCCAACTATAACAAGCCTACCTGTACACCCAGGATGCCAAAGATGATGAAGAAAGCACAGCAGATAAGGACAATGTTTCCTATGGGCTTCAAGGATGAAATGAGTGTTTCCACCACCAGCTTCAGGCCAGGGGCTCGGCTGATAACTCTGGAAGGGAAGGAAGGCGATAGAGGGATAGGGAAGTGATGTTTGCCCTGAGCAACATGTTTTTCAGCGTCATATCTCCCTATGCAAAGATTTGTTAGTGGGAAACACTCCAAGGGCCAAAAAGCCTCTTTCATTCCCATGATTAACAAGGTACCTCCAAGGTACCAAGGTACAGCTAAGAGGAACCTCTCTGGCAAGCACACTTGCTATCTGTGAGATACCACATTTTGCTTGGCACAGCTGCCAGATGCATGCAGGGCCCCTGTCCGCTGCTCTGAGCACGGTGTGGGGCACTGATCTGGGGACCTTTCCTGGGGACGCAGCTGGAAGGGAAGAGGGCAGCGCGCAGTGGGGCTCTGACCGGAGCGGACGCAAGGTGCGTAGCAGTCGGAGGACCCGCAGCACTCCCAGGATTTTGGCACCACCAGCAGAGGCCACTGAGACCACAATGTCAATGAGGGACACGAAGACCAGGAAGCCATCCAGGACGTTCCAGCTGCTGCGGAGATAAGCCTGGTCCCCAAAATACAGGCCTAGAGAGACCACCTACAAGAGAGGGTAGAGGACCAGGGGTTAAATGGCTCCACTCCATGTTTCCTTGTAGAAGGCAGCCACAGATAGAGCGGGAGAATGGAAAACAGTTATTAACTCCACCCAACGCTTCCTGAGGTAGCAATAAGGGCTCATTTTGCACACTTCAATAAATCTCATTGCCTCTTTCTCTTTTTCTGGAAGGCTGTGAAGGAAAATGTCTTTGGGGAAAGCAGTGGCACATAACTACAGAAATAACAAGGCCATGCTCTAGAGAGGCATTTCAGCAAGATTTCCGTAGAGTTTTCTCACCCCTCGTCTGCCTCTCCGAGCAATAGGACACCAGAGAGAACATTACAGGGAAAGTTCCCGGCCATTTCACAGACCTGAGCTAACTATCCCAGACCAGAGATTATCCTTTTTTTTGAAGGTAAAATTTGGCACCGACATCTGTACTCAGACTCCTAAAAGAGTGGTCTGATTTTCAGCAGCACTGCCCTGAAAATCACACCCCTTTTTAGAAATGAATTTTTAGGGTGCTAACCTTAAGGTACCCAGTTTTGAAACTCTCTTTACTCACTTATGTGACACTTCTTCATCACAAAAGGGGAACAGCATGATTTGCGCACTATTGTAAAATACTTTGAAATCTATTAAATAATATCTCAAGTAAGAGTATTTTATTAATATTGTTGTTGCTATAGCCTTTGCTCTTACTCTGGAAGGAAAGGAATGGCCATTTGTCATTATTACAAAATCCATATCTGGAGCTCAGATATTTCTCCCAGACAACGAGATCCCTGTGTATAAATGCCCTTTTTATGCAAGAGTAGAGCAGATTGAACCCCAGGCAGTATCTACCCTTACCAAGGCATGGTGCAGGGCTAGTCCACTGAATAGCTAGAGAGATTTTGGAGGGGTGCTGCGCTAACGTAAATCGTGTTGCTCGTCACATGCAGAAAGGACCCTGAGCAGTCCATCTCCAGTAACTTACCTTCAGTGTCATCTCAGCTACAAAGATTGCTGTGAAAATGTAGTTGGACACAGTAAGAAAGATTCTCTCCTACAAACAAACAAACAGAAAAAAAGAGAGAAAGGCCCTAAATATATCTCAACTTCTTCCTGTTCTGCTGTGAGACCCCTTCTATGAACTTGGTATCTCTAGCTTTCCTGTGAAGGGTCTGAAAGTTGGGGGAATAAGAGCATTGCTCCCTGGAAAAGGTCAGTGTTGGGCAGCATTCAGCTTTCACATCTTGACTCTGCCCTGTGTCCGGACAGAATCCCATGCAGCTCTGCAAAAGCATAGTGGGTGGGATGTGCCATGCTTCCTCCAAGTCAGCACTGCTTAGTTTGGATCTGCTGCACCATCCCAAAGTGCTCCTGAGCACTGACCACTGTGCTGTGCACAGCATATTTGGTGGGACAGCTAAGGCAGAGATGCAGAAAAAGTCATTTGAGTTTGTCAGCCTGAGCCATCAATAAGTTCAGCTCAAAAGTACCGTAAATGAATGCTGACATACTGCTTCCACAGGGACTTTGCTACATATAGAAGTTACTTCTTCATTTTAGTTTCCAGCCCCTGCCCCTTTGACAAGCCATCTCTTACCAAGGGTAGCCTGTGAGACTCCCTCACCTTCTAATAGAGGGCACTAGGATTACTCTACTATAAAGAAGGCTTGCCTTACTATAAGACACTTCAACAGAAGCATGTATGACGTGAATTACTAATATCTGGGCTTTGGAATAGATGAGTGAGAGTTAGTGTTTAATGCCAAGGTTTGTCCAGAGGCTTTACCAGTGCCAGGAGCACTTACGAGCCTCTGCCAGAGGTCATGCTAAAAAGTAGGTAGGAGGGAATTCTCACCGTGCTTCTGTGTTCAATCTGTGGTCTCTCCAGGGCAATGGTGATGCAGTTCAGGAAGATGAAGGCCAGCACAACATAATCAAAGAGCTTGTGAGCAATAATTGTTTGGCAGAGGAGACGAAACCTGCAAGAGAAATCCAAGCAGGCACATGTGCCTTGGGCAGAGTTATATTAGGAGCTAGGACAGAATAGAGCATTCTAGCCAAAACTGAGCTCTGATTAGAGCCATAGCAGCTTTCCTATCACATATACTGATGTCTCCTATCCTGGCAATATCACAGAGCAACCCATGGTAACACAGCAAGTCTGCACCAGAGCAAGGAATTGAATCTCCATCCATCACCCCAGTGCTGGAGTTGTCTCTTACCCACTACGTCACTCTCCTCCCCTGTAGAAGAGAGTTTGACTCTACCTCCCAAACTCAGAGCTGCCTCACATTTGTATTTCATTACAACAATCACCCATGTGCTGAAAGTCGAGGAAATGCAGGGAACAGTCATGGGGAACAGACTTCTGGCTGCTCTGAAAGACACTTTTCCCCTTAAAAGGTATCATATGGAACTATAATAAAACCCCATTCTTTTCAAGAGGTGATGCACACTTATGCAAATGCTGTCAGTTAAGGTATATGGGCATTTTCTTCTTATGGGAAGACCACCTTGTCAGGAAGAATTTGTCCTAAAATGTTTTTCTAGACACAAGGAATACTAACTTTGCCCTAAAAGATATAATATGGCTGCTGATAAACTGGCAGAGAAATGGAGAGATTGTTCTTGTACCAGGGGAGGTAATATCAGTGTTATGGAGTCATTAATAATGCATTACTTTTTCTTTTTTAGTTAATGTCTGTATTCCCTGTCTTGCTTTGCTATAAATATTTATGATTACAGAAAAGACAAATGGAATGCTCCTAAGAGAGAAAAAAATCATAATAGCCATTTAAGATTCTCTTCTTCCTTTTTGTCTTTAGAACTAAAGAAGAGAAATGCTGTTTGGCTAGGGAGGTGGAGATGGAGGAGACAAAACATATTTCTAACAGATAAGGTTTACGTTGCAACCTAACATCCAGCTTATAGGGTGCAGCTGCTGTTCCAACAAAACCTGTCTTATCTTCTCAACCCTCTGCTAGTAAAAACAGCACAAACCTGTTCTGTGGAGAGAAGAGATATATGGACCAGTCCTCTCGTAACTCACACCAGTCTGGCTTGTAAACTTCCATCATCTTCCGGATACGAAAACACAAGCTCTGGAGGGATGCAGCAGAAGTTACTGTCACTGGTTACCTGCCCAGTTGCCTGACAAAGTCACTCTTTCTTTCTCATTCGATCCTAAAACATCACTACCTGGAGTTTCCCAGACAAACCAGTTCCACAGGGCTGCTTTTCATTAGCCCATGTGTGAGGAAATGGATTCAAAGTGCACCAAGCCACTGATAAGGATCTGCTATACTCGGGTCTGTTTAGTTCTCAGCATCTGATTTCATCCCCAAACTGCATAGAAATGAAACTGCTGGTGGCCTTTCTCATGAAGGATGGTGTCCATGGTCTCTTCTTAGTGCCTTGAAGTGAGTCTGTTACACTGGCATGGAATTTCCTAGATACCTCAGCTATCAAGAAGCAGACATCCCAGCCCAGGAGGCCCAGGAGAGGATGGCCTTCTGTAGGCACTTGGGCTTTGACGTTATTTAATTTCACAGGAAATATTTCTGTTCAAATCTCTACTGACACTCCAGCTATGCTCTTTTACAGGCTCTCCCATCTATTTTGCAGGGAAATCTGACCTCAAGGACGAAGTTGGAGTTTCCCACAATATTGAGGCATAACTTTAGGTTCCTTGTACCAAATACTCACATAATCTATCTCCTCATCATCCTCTCCCCGCTCCTTGCGGTTGTTCATCTTTGGGAAGATCTCCTTTGCAATGTTGGGCATTTTACCATTACAGTCCTGGTGCTCGTTGACCCCGGACGCTGCCCCTGGCTTACGGGTCGCTCTGTAGCCAGACGGGACTGATGCCAACTCCACCAGGTCACAGGAGCCCTTGTTGTCCAAAGAGAGCGTTCGGCGGTGATGAGACATCCTTCTAGTCGCATCTCGCTCCCCATCTGCCTCCCTGCGTCTCTCTCCAGACAGGAGAGATTCATGCTCGGCAGAGGGAGGTTTGTTTTTCAGGCTGTGTCCCCGAGCCAGGCTGTTCCAGCTGGAGCGGCGGCTCCCCCAGGCTCCGCTACGGCCCCAAGCACCATAGTGGGAACTGCGGGAGCTGGACTGTAAGAGAGTGGTACAGGAGTTCAGTGACTATGGGCATACGGAGGGTAGATATTGTTGTATTTCAAACCATAGACTTGTCCCTGGGCCCGTAAGACAGGAGATTGCCTGTTTTGGTCCTCGAGGAAGGTGCATGTTGGGAATATAGCAGGTACTTCTGTAAATCTGATAACAGATTGACAACAAGTTAGTAGTAGTGTTGGCTGTGATTACTTTACAGCACCATCTGTGTGTGAGGCACTTACAGGGAAAGTAAACAATAAAGCCAAAGGGCAGGTGCCTGACGTTGTCACTTGCATGAACACACAAACACACGGCAGGAATAAAGCTTTCCAAAAATCTGATTGGCAGCACTTTATACTGCCCTGAGGTAAAGGATAACACAAGGTATGGGGAGATAATCTAAATCATCGTCTTCGAGTAGTCTTTGTAAAAGCTAGAAATGATAAAAATGGTCTTGTTGGTTACAGTCTAGTTCCACCACATCAGCAACTTGTCACGTAGCACATGGCTGTCACCTCTGGTTATTTAGGAAAATGGGAGTATGAGTCCCTCTAGCACCAGTGTACCCACACAAAGCTGTTTGTATCAGTGGGCAAATTGTCTAGAGGTTGATATAACAAAATGGACAGGTCTAAGGTGTGTTGGCCAAACAGCCTGCATGTCTGGAGAAGTGCTAAGGGGCCACAGGGCTTGCTATGGGGGCTCCAAGTCAAAGTTTTTCTCTTCTTTTCTCTGAACAAAATCTTCCAGAAACCCCATCTGTTGTGAGGCTTGGCAATGCTTGCATCAGCCAGACTGTTCTGGTTCTCAACTCACTCTGAGGATCACCTGGGAGTAGAGCACCATACAACACCATTGTATTTATCCCGTGCTCTAGGCAAAAGGGGCAAGGATAAGAAAACAGATGTTTCACTCTAAGAAGAAGATTCTGTCTGCTTGCTATCCCCTCCTCTCTAACCAGAAAAATAGAAAAGAACTGAATCCTACACTCAGCAGAATATAGATTGGTAATGTGGAAATACAGGTCAATCATCCAGACTGACTTGGTTTCCTAAGGAGAGACTATGCACTTGTGTTATGCATTGTGGCAGCAATGCATTCTTCCACTGCAAACCCCAAATGATGGCAGAAAGACAGCAGACTCCTTGGGCTTTGAAAGGATGGTACCACTTGCTGTTCATTCACTCACCAAGGACCGCTGGTCATAGGTCATTCTCCCCAGGGACATCACACTACTCTTCCTGGAGCCAACAGCAACAAGGATCTGGTCTGGCTGCAGGGAGTTGCGCGAGGAGTTAGTGACCCCCCCAGAAGACACTGGTGGGTTAGAAGAGGGCAAGGATGGGTCCAAGTGTCCATTTGGTGTCACAGGAATTGCACAGAGCTTGGGATCTGAGTGGAAAGATGCAAGGAGAGGAAGAAAGAGGAAAGAAGGCTGCTTTCTCACCATCCAGCAACTGTTTCAATTTCTAGGCTGTTAAGCAATGTTAAAATCCAACACTGATCCATTCTAACTTAAGGCATAGCAGCAAAAGTAGTCAAAACTGTAAAGATCATGAGGTATTCCTCTCCAATCCCCAAACTGATGGTAACTCCCCTTGGGGCCAGAAGGACAACTGGAGTGCCACTCAGACAGACTCATACCGACAGGTAAAGCAAGAGGTCCAACCCTGGCAGCAAGGGGAGGAAAGCGTGCTTCTGCATGCCAAGAGTCAGGGGTGGAGATTGGCTTCTTCAGGTCTCAACAAATACTGCCAACTGTCACATAGGCAGTCACTATTTAAAGCAGTTAAATTGAGACCCTGAGGAAGAGATCAAGATGTGGGGATATCAGCAGCCATCAATGCTTTAGGCTCACCTTAAAGTTCCTGTGATCGTATTCTTCATGCCAGTCAGTTCTACTGCACTGGGACACTTAAAAAATGACTTAATATTGGCCTTTAAGACCCAGAACAGGTATGCTAAGTGCTGTAGAAGAACACGAGCCATCCAATATGCATGGAGAAAACGGGGCACTCTGTTTTAAAGCCGGACAGGACTGGAGCAAGCTTTTTTGATTTTCCTATTGCATCCTAAAGATTATATATCCTGCATGGCAAGTACTGCACTTGGCGTTAGGGCCCTGTGCATACCCATAGGCTCTGTTACTGTCCCCCATTCTCTTTCCTAGGTGTATGGCTGACTGCATTCAAGGTCAGCTCTGATATTCTGCAGCTATATAACCTTGGATCAGACTGTTGTGACAACAGCTAGGTTGTGAGAAAGAGCTATGATAAGCCAAGTCTGGAGCCTCTGCTCCTTGCCTTGGGAGCTGCATTTAAGCTCAGGCCCATGTTGTTGGTCTTTGCTGGGCTATTCTTCAAGTATGCTTGTACCTAGCCTGGTGCTTTGCTGATCCTGACTTTGCCTTGCTGACTTGACTTCTACTTCTGACCTCAGACCTGCCTCAACACTATGGACTTGCCTGGCAAACACTGAGCCATTGGTTGACCCTACTGCTGTCAACGCATCTGCTCCGCTTACTTTGTGCAGATACTGCACCCTTGTTGGTGTGGTCTCTGTCTTGCCTGTGTGGCTATCACTCTGGCTCCCATCTCACCTTCCCCTGGGGAGCACGCCACTCTTACCGCTCTGTGGCACAAAATCTTTTTTTGAGATATATACCTTCATGAGACATGAGATCTTCAAGGAAAAACTTCATTCTGTGGCACAAAATCTTTTTTGAGATATATACCTTCTGTAGAAAGACATGAGATCTTCAAGGAAAAACTTCAAGTATTAGAGAACCTACCCTGCAGTTTGTAGGCAGACTGCTTCAACAGTTTGTTATCCTTAATTTAAAATATGTGGCTTTTTTTTCAGTTTGGAAGTTTCAGCTTCCAACCTTTACAATCTCATTATACTTTTTTCTGCTCAATTAAAGAAACATCTACCATCAGAAATCTCTCCTTATGGTCGACACTTGCAGTGTGTGCGATCAAGTCACTTCTCTAGATTCTCTAAGGTTCATTAGTCTCTCACTATGAGGCAGAATTTCCAAATTTGTCTGGGTCATTTTTAATTTCTCTGTATTCCCTTTTCAAATGTGGGTGCCAGAACTGGACACAAATGGTACCTCTGAAATGGTACCTCTGGAGTAGAGACAGTATCATTTTCTCATTCCTATTTTCTGCTCTTTTCGATTATTCAAGAACTGCTGCTCTTAGCTACCACTTTCCTCAGGATATCAACACAGTTCTGAGTTTCCACCAATGACACCACAAACTGGTATAAAGTTCAAAATGAACATGTACAAATTAGAAGAAAACTTTCAAAATTGTTTTGCTATGGGAACAAGCAGATGCCACTGTGGAGATGGGGGTGAATTTTCGTAGCAATCTGCATTCACATTTTTCACCAAACAGCAGTGCAAGTTGAGCAAATGAAACTGTTTGCTCAGTGTACCTGAACCTTCCTGGACATCATGCAGCTGATCCAACTCCTCCACGTTTGATGAACTCTGATCTTCATCTGAGTATGACCGGTTGGCATCACCCTGAAACAGACAAATTTAGAAGCTGGGAACTCATGAAAAGAAAAGTTCTTTTCTTTCATTCTTGAGCACGACTGTAAAATTCTCCTTGGTATTCAGGCATCAGTAGGGCCCTGGGAAGAGTCCTGTCTGACCTGGAAGGGCTGAGATCCTGTGTTCTTGCTTTTGGAATGGAAAAGGACTCATGCTGGGAGCCTGTTGCAGAGAATGAAAATTGTGAACACTTTTCTCAGTGGCTTGTTTCTTTCCTTGGAAGGATTATCGCTGTCCACTTGTTTTTTGGATTAAGCCCACTCTGAACTTAAGCAGGGAAATGAGTAAGATTTGATACTCTGAGAGTTCTCTAGTGTTGTCCCCAAAGTTTCCCCTTCTTAATACCTCTCTTCCTTCTCCCCATCAGAGACAACATCTGTGACTCACCTCAGCCTGGAAACCCTCCACCAGGATGGCCACCAGCAGATTGAAGAGTACATAATTGCCAAATGTCATGAGAGCCACAAAGTAAAGGGATGCCCATGGTGAGGTGGAGGCCATGCCATTATAAAGTACAACATTCCAGTCCTCCTGTGTTAAGATCTGCAACCATGAACAGAGGCCACATAAACCTGAAGAACATGATGACAATTCCCAGAGAATCAGAGTAAAGGACCTCTTGACCACATCAGGCCTCTTAGCTTCATACACATCTTGACCACATCAGGCCTCTTAGCTTCTCTATAACCACCCAGCCACTGCCCAGTGTCACTGGCTGGCTGTTTTGCTGATCTGATAATGCTGGCTGAGCAAAAAGAGTGTACATCGGGGTAAGCATGTGCTGGTGTTAAACACAGGAGTTGCCCCAACAGAAGTGACTTTTGCAAACTGCACAGCCTTCTGTACTGTTAGGAGTGAGTACAATGCGCCACACAGAGAGATAGCACCTCCTGATGTTTTTTATTTTGTCCTGGCCCAACTGGAGAGAGGAAAGTGGGCTCACCTGGAACACAGTGACAATGGCCCACAGCAAGGAGTCAAAATTCTTGCGGTCAGGAACCGTATCTCCTGTGTCTGTCCTGAGGCTGAACTTGCATCCAAAAATGTGCATTCCCAGGATGCTGTTGGGACAGGAAGAGGAGCCCAGTGTCCAATTTAAATATCTCTGCCATCACAGTGAGCTTGTTGGAGAAGTTCTCTTTTCTTCATGACAGGCTAGTGTAGTACCACAGGGCTGAGGGGCAGAGCTACACAGCCAGAGCACTGGTACCTATCTGTGAAGGAAGAGCTGCATCCTCTAGCAATTCCCTCCAGCTCATCCCTCAGACCTGCTCTCTCTCCATTACTCTTGTTTGTTCCTGTCTTTTTCTTCATTCCCTCTTGCAAACAGCATACACTCATGGTGCCTTGACAGACTTTCCTGGATGCTTTCTGCTGCCCTCCTGTTGTAATCAGCATGCAGACTGGTCCTATAGCCATTACTGGTTACCAGTAAGGGATCATGCTCAAGATAGATGTTTGCTGGCAGTATTTCTCCATCCCCTTCAGGCCAAATCTGCTGAAAGCAATTTAGGGCAGCAGTGGCCTCAGCCTTTACGCACACATAAATGTCTCTCAGTACTGCCTAAACCTAGAGCGATGGGCAAGATGAGTCACACACACACATTGAAATTGTCAATATGAGCTAGGCAGCACCTCTCCAATTTACTGTGATGCAACTGCCTCCTCACCTGAATATAAAGATGAAGAGCATGAGGAGCATGCAGAAGGTGGCTACGTTGTCCATAGTCTTCATCAGCACCACGAGCTGGCGCCGCAGCGCAGGCATGAAACGCACCAGCTTTAGCACCCGTAGAAGGCGGAAAGTCCTCAGCACCGAGAGCCCCCCATCTGACTGGCCGATGATCTCCCAGATGCTACAGCCCAGAGACAGGCACAGAAAGTGCAAGGAACAAGGGAACAGAGAAGTGAATAAATGGCAGAGAGAGGGGAACAGCAATGCTAATCCAAGTTCTCACCTCTGCATTGCCAGCATTTATATGAGGCTCAAAGAGGGAAATCTGCACAAACAAGGTATAATTGGGTGTGTATAGTGGAAGCTTATACTTATGTGTAAAAGGTTGCATTTCTCCCTTTCAGAATTTAAACATGGCACTATATGTTTCAGGAATAAGAAAATTATTACAGCATTAAATCCCAGCAAGGTAAGTTCCTCTACCAAATTCTAAACCACTGTAGCTTTCTTCACTTACGAATTTTGACAAATAATTCAAAATTAATGCTTTCCATGGACTTCCAAAGCAGCTGTAATTGCCTCTGTTCTACAGAGGAGGGAACTGAGGGACAGAAACACTATGAAGTGGCTTGCCCAACATCACTCAGAATGTTGGAAAAGGATATCTAGTCTTCAAGTCCATTTCTTTGTGCACCAGCTCAGCTCCCTTTCTTTTATAGCTGGTAAACCCTTTTGGGAAAAGCACATGAGAATTTACAAGCTCTCTGGTGTTCTTTTCTATATGTACTTCAGATGACCCACAGGGCCTTTGTCACCTGATGATGACGATGATACTGTCAAAGATGTTGTAGGGGTTGCGGAGGTAATCAAAAAGCCCAAAAGCAGCAAGTTTCAGAATCATCTCCAGGGCAAACATGCTTGTAAAGACAACATTGCTGATCTCCAAGATGTTGGTCAGTTCCTCTGGCTGGAAAGAATACAAATTCAGAGAGTCAAACCTGAAAGAGTCCTGATGCTATCAGGAAAAAACAAAAATGCCACTATTCCCTTGGTACAGGCTCTGTAAGGAGCTATGAAGAAACATGGGTGAGATTAGAGTAGACCCTTTGTACTGTTATTCTGTTCCACATTTACTACTTTCATCACAGATTATGTTTCTAGTGAATGCTGAACTGTACAGTTTTACTGGAAATGGTCATGAGCCCCATAGCCATTTAGGCAGCTGAGAGTCACCAAACATATCCCATGCCCTACTCTTATACTCCTCTCACCTGGCTAGGGGCTATTTCACTTTGTGCAAAGAAGATGAGTATTTTTTGAAGCAAGGAGCAGAGACTCCCCCATTTGCTCAAAAGCAGCTAATCTGTGGCCAGTCACTTACTACAATACATTCCTTTGAGGTTTTCACAAATACCTCGGCACAATTTGTTGCTAAAATTTTGAAAATATTTGGGTGAGAAGAAAACAGTTCCCCATCTTCTTCTAAATCTCACTGCACTTCTCTGCCCCCCTTTTCCTTCTATTTTTT